CCAAACGGTGTTTTTCGTTTTCGTGTTGCGTTCGTGCTTCCTCGCTTTTCTGTATCGGATCCGCCTTTGCCGCAAAACGAAGCCGAAACGAGAACGAGAACAGCTTTTGCTGATAGGCTTCTAGTGGGATCAAACGAGAACATCTTGACGCCCCAGGGGGTCTGGGCGGGATCCGGACAGATCCGGACAAATCCGGACAGATCTGGACAGCCCCAGGAATCCTTAGGAATCCTTCGGAATTCTTAGAGATGCCTACGAATCCATTCCCAGAACACAATTCCCAGGCCACATTTTGAATGCCCGGAGCCAACTGTAAGCCACTTCGTGTTCTTCGTGTTCCCAGAACACCATCCCCAGGCCACATTTTGAATGCCCGGAACCAACTGGAGGCCACTTCGTGTTCTTCGTGTTCCCAGAATACCATTATCAGGCCACGTTTTGAATGCCCAAAGCTTACTGTAGGCCACTTCGTGTTCTTCGTGTTCCCAGAACACCATTCCCAGGCCACATGTTGAATGCCCGGAGCCAACCGTAGGCCACTTCGTGTCCTTCGTGTTCCCAGAACACAATTCCCAGCCCACATTTTGAATGCCCGGAGTCAACTGTAGGCCACCTCGTGTTCTTCGTGTTCCCGGAACACCATTCCTGTACCATAGTTTGATTGCCCGGGGCCAGCTGTGGGCCACTTTTTGATTTTCGTGTTCCCAGAACACCAGTCCTGTGTCATATTATGAATGCCCGAGCTGAGGCAGGCTGAGGCCGAGGCAGGCTGAGGCCGAGGCAGGCTGAGGCTGAGGCTGAGGCACGCCGAGGCAGGCTGAGGCTGAGGCTGAGGCTGAGGCTGAGGCAGGCTGAGACTGAGGCTGAGGCAGGCTGAGGCTGAGGCAGCCTGAAGTTGAGGCTGAGGCAGGCTGAGGCTGAAGCAGGCTGAGACTGAGGCTGAGGCAGGCTGAGGCTGAGGCTGAGGCTGAGGCTGATGCAGGCTGAGGCTGAGAGGCTGACGCTGAGGCTGAGGCAGGCTGAGGCTGAGGCTGAGGTCGAGGCAGGCTGAGGCTGAGGCTGAGGCAAAGGCAGGCTGAGGCAGAGCTGAAGCTGAGGCAGGCTGAGGCTGAAGCTGAGGCAGGCTGAGGCTGAGGCTGAGGCTGTGGCTGAGGCTGAGGCAAGCTGCAGGCTGAGGCAGGCTGATGCAGCTGAGGCTGAGGCTGAGGCTGAGGCTGAGGCAGGCTGAGGCTGAGGCTGAGGCCGAGGCAGGCTGAGGCTGAGGCCGAGGCAAGCCGAGGCAGGCTGAGGCTGAGGCTGAGGCTGATGCTGAGGCAGACTGAAGCTGAGACAGGCTGAGGCTGAGGCTGAGGCAGGCTGAGGCTGAGGCTGAGGCCGAGTCAGGCTGAGGCTGAGGCTGAGGCAAGCCGAGGTAGGCTGAGGCTGAGGCTGAAGCTGAGGCAGGCTGAGGCTGGGGCTGAGGCAGTGGCCGAGGCTGAGGCACGCTGCGGCTGAGGCAGGCTGAGGCTGAGGCCGAGGCAGGCTGAGGCTGAGGAAGGCTGGGGCTGAGGCGGAGGCAGGCTGAGGCTGAGGCTGAGGCTGATGCTGATGCAGGCTGAGGCTGAGAGGCTGACGCTGAGGCTGAGGCAGGCTGAGGCTGAGGCTGAGGCCGAGGTAGGCTTAGGCTGAGGCTGAGGCAAGCCGAGGCAGGCTGAGGCTGAGGCTGAAGCTGAGGCAGGCTGAGGCTGAGGCTGACGCTGTGGCTGAGGCTGAGGCAAGCTGCGGCTGAGGCAGGCTGAGGCTGAGGCTGATGCAGGCTGAGGCTGAGGCAGGCTGAGGCTGAGGCTCAGGCAGGCTGAGGCTGAGGCTGAGGCCGAGGCAGGCTGAGGCTGAGGCCGAGGCAAGCCGAGGCAGGCTGAGGCTGAGGCTGAGGCTGATGCTGATGCAGGCTGAGGCTGAGACAGGCTGAGGCTGAGGCTGAGGCTGAGGCTGAGGCTGAGGCAGGCTGAGGCTGAGGCCGAGGCAGGCGAATCCTTCGGAATCCTTAGGATTCCCTCGGAATGCTTAGGAATCCCTAGGAATCCCCAGGAATCAGGATTCCTAAGGATTCCTAAGGTGCCCTAAGGATTCCTATGGATTCCCAAGGATGCCTAAGGATGCCTTAGGACTCCCTAGGAATCCTTAGGATTCCATTGGATCCTGAGGCCGTTGCCACTGCGACTGTCATTGCGAATGCGACTGCGACTGCGAGAGCAGCAGAATTCTACAACTGAATTCTCACCTGAATATTAAGGGGAATGCTTCCAGATATGCTTATACACATCGCTCTTCGGTTGCTTTGCCGGGGCAATCGTTTTCGTTTTGCTTTCGTGCTTCCTCGCTTTTTTGCATCGAATCCGCCTTTGCCGCAGAACGAAACTGAAACGAGAACGGCCCAAGGAATCCGCCGATCCAGCGCGTGAGTTGAAGAAGTCTAAGCTGAAGCTCTGCTTCAGCGAGAGCTTTAGCTCTGCTTGGGAGGGGGGGAGGGGGGTCAACGTAATTACCTGACGAATTAAGTGCTCGGCACCTCCCCCCCCTGCCAGCCCCCAGGAGAGAGGGGGGGGGGGGCACGAGAGAGTGGGGAGGGGAGAGGGGGGGGGGACAGGAGAGGGGGGGGGGGGGGGACAGGAGAGAGGGGGGGAAGGGGGGGAAAGAAGAGAGGGGGGGGACAGTAGAGGGGGGGGGGGAACAGGAGAGAGGGGGGGGACAGGAGAGAGGGGGGGGGGAGAGGGGGGGACAGGAGAGAGGGGGGGGGGGACAAGAGAGAGGGGGGGGAAGGGAAGGAGAGAGTGGGAGGGGACAGGAGAGAGAGGGGGTGGGGAAGGAGAGAGAGGGGGGGGGGGGCAGGAGAGAGGGCAGGGGGAGGAGGGGGGGGTGGAGACAGGAGAGAGAGGGGGGGACAGGACAGAGGGGGGGGTGGGGGAAAGGAGAGAGGGGGGGGACAGAAGAGAGGGGGGGTTGACAGGAGAGAGGAGGGGGGTGGGGGTGGGGGGGCCCGGGATCATCAACATCTCCATCACCATCACCATCACCATTGTCACATCACCATCATCATCATCATCATCATCATCATCATCATCATCATCATCATCATCATCATCATCAGCATCATCATCATCATCATCATCGTCACCATCACCATCACCATCACCATCACCATCACCATCACCATAACCATCATCATCATCATCGTCATCATCATCAGCATAGTCATCATCATCATCATATCATCCTCATCACCAACACCATCACCATTACCTTATCATCATCAGCATCAGCATCATCATTATCATCACCATCATCATCACCATCACCATCACCATCATCAATCATCATCATCATCATCATCATCATCATCATCATCATCATCATCATCATCATCATCATCATCATCGTCATCGTCATCGTCATCACCATCACCATCACCATCACCATCATCATCCGGAGTGCCCCGGATCGGCGGCACTGGCCGGAGGCCACTACAATCACCAAAAACACAGTTTAGGTCCAGACCTGATCTCGAGTCCCCCCTGGGTGCGCCGCGGGGCCCATGCAGGGACCCATCTGGGTGAGGGCGGAGGGCCGAGTGAGCGGGGTGGATCTGGCCCTCCCCCATCATTCCCATCTCCCTCCTCCTTCCCTTCCCGCCCAACCACATCGGTGTTTTGACCTTCTCCACCATTGCCCGTCTACCCCGCGCAACGTGCCTACCCCCGCGCTCCCTCTACCTTCTCCCTCTGTCCCCCCCTCTTTCTCCTTATCCGACCTTTGCTTCCTCGTGCACCCTCTGCCCCCATCCCTTCCCCTTCCGTTCTGTCCTTTGCCCGCTCGCTCCCGTTCGCCTTCTCTCGCGTCTCTGAACAATCTTCCCTCCGTGGTTCCCTTCCGCCTTCTCCCCCTCCGACCCCTCTCCTCCCCTCGAATGCGAAGCAAGTTATTCGGGCTGAAGAATGTTTGATTACCCGCGGACGGGTTTTGGAGAGTTCTCGCACAGTGTCCGCGGGAGGCCGTTTTGAGGGTTTTTGAAGGGTTCGTTCGGCGGTGGACAAAGCTCCCTTTGGTACACCTCCCCTTAGTGAAACGGCCTGGGACCGAAACCGACGGACCTGGACCTTTCTGGAGGGTTCGTGGTATGAGCGTAAGCTACTGGAATCTAGCGAGCAGCGGTAACACAACCTCCTCCTCCTCCTCCTCCTCCTCCTCCTCCTCCTCCTCCTCCTCCTCCTCCTCCTCTCGGGCCGGGCGAAAGGGGGGGATAGCAAAGGGGGAGTTTGAGAATCAGCTCACGCAGCTGATGTTCCCGGCGCCTCCCGGCGCCGGGCGGCGACCGGGTATCGAGGAACGGGGCCCCTCGGTGGGGCCGAGACCAGCTGCAGGCAGCAGACTTCGTACCCCCACCCTTTCCCATTCCCCCCCTTTCGCCCAGCTCGATCCTCCTCCCCCTCGCCCACGAGCCTCAGATGCTCGTGCTGGGGGCCTTCCTGGAGCCGCTCGCTCCGCTCGTGCGTCGAAGCTGCGTCGAAGCTGCGTCGAAGCTGCGTCGAACCTGAGTCGAACCTGAGTCGAACCTGAGTCGAACCTGAGTCGAACCTGAGTCGGACCCGAGTCGAAGCTGCGTCGAACCTGAGTCGAACCCGAGTCGAACCTGAGTCGAACCTGAGTCGAACCTGAGTCGAACTTGAGTCGAACCTGAGTCGAACAGATCCATTACGGCAGGTTCGTGTCGTGCCGACCCCAGCGTTGGTTTTTGACACCGCAGGGATCGTTCAACCTTACACGATCGGCCGTTCCCGCAACGTCCAATCGTTCAACATCGACCGATTCTGGGTCGCCGGCGGCGTTCAACGTTAAACGCCGCGGGCGGGGTCGCCGACGGTCGACACGACGCGAACCTGCCGTAGGTGGCCCCCAGGAAGGTCCCCAAAACGAGCATCGAACGAGCCCGTCTTCTGGGGGCGCCGGCGGAGGACGGCGGAGGCCTCCGTTGGGCTGGGGATGACCTCCGGCAGGGCCGCGGCCTGGCCGGCCGCCTCGGCTGGGAGGCCTCCTCCTCCTCCCCCTTCCTCCTCCTCCTCCCCCTTCCTCCTCCTCCTCCTCCTCCTCCTCCCCCTCCCTCCTCCTCCTCCCCCTTCCTCCTCCTCCTCCTCCTCCTCCTCCTCCTCCCCTCCTCCTCCTCTCCCTTCCTCTCCAGATCCGTTTGCCCCCTCCTCCCTTCCTCCCCCGCCCCACCTCCGCGTCCTCCTCGTCCTCCCCGCCACGTCTGGGGAAGCTGTGCTCCCCAGATCTCCCACGACATCGGTGATCTCGGCCCCTGCGCTGCCCGCGGGGTCGGGGGCCCTGAGATCCTGGCGTTGCACATGTTCCACAGCGTACGTTTTTTGCCAAATTTCGGGCCCTGGGACCTCACTTTTTCGATCTGGCTGAAGATGGGGACCGGGACTCCGGCGGCAATTCTGCGCGATGTCGCATTTGTTGGTAACGTCAGATTTGGGAGGGGCGCTGTTCCTCGTGGGCCGTTTGCGGGCCCTGCGGCCATCCATGATGGGTCTTGGATCGAAAATCTGGCCCAGAGAAAGGGTCCGGGGCTTCCGGGGACTTCCATATAGGGAAAAACAAAGCATCGGACGTCGGGGCTACTTACGGCAGATTCGTGTCGTGTGGAAGCCCGGCGCTGGTCCCCTGACACCGAGGGAATCGCTCAAGCTTGAACGAACAGCCGTTCCTGGAAAATCGGATCGTTCCACATCGACCGATTCTGGGTCGCTGGCGGCGTTCAATGCTGAACGCCGGCGGCGGAGTGGCCGGCGGTCGACACGACGCGAACCTACCGTGCGCTTTCGGAGGTACGCGGGACCCCTCTGGTACAGTCGGACTTGATTGGCGAGGACACGCGAGAGGACACGCGACCTTTCCATGGTCCATGTTGCCACGGGAATATAGAAGGCATGGGTCGGAAAACACAGGACACAAGGGTAGCCTTGAGTTGGCAGGGTCGACCTACTGTTGCGGGTGTCATGACAATGGGCACTCTAACAATCCGATCATTGAATAAAAACATGTGCTTAAAGTGTACAGAACATGTTATAAGCATGTGTCGAACATGTTTGCACATGTCTAAAACCTGTTTTAGACATCTGGAAACTATTCGGCAGCCTATTTCCTCTCCGTCAATCGACTGCCACAAGCCTACACCTCAAGCTCGACTGCACAGCATTGCACCCCCCTTAAACCCTAAACCCTAAACCCTAAACCCTAAACCCTAAACGGCGCCTCCTGCGCCGCCCCCTCGCGCATCTCCCGCTCCAGAGAAGGCGAGACCCTTCGCCGACCGGAGAGATGCGCGCGGACCTTCGAACGTGTGGTTGTGCTCGTCCCGCTCGTCCGGAGGCCCGCCAGATGAGGTCAGAGCAGGTGCTGTCGGAGGATCGCGCCGCATCGCCGATGCATCGGCGATGCATCGGCGACGTCGGCATGGAGAAAATCGGGTTCCCACATCGTGCCGCATCGCCGGCGCGATCCTCTGGCGACATCCACTCAAAAATCCGCACTCGATGTGTGCAATACGGAGTCCCTGGAAGTCCTGGCCCTTTCTGAAGGGGAATTGGGACACACAAATAAATACACACAAATGAAAATATCCCCCATATTTTCCCATATTTTCTGGGTTTGTGTCTTCCCCCCCACTTCCCATATTTTCCCATATTTTCTGAGGAATCGAGGATTAATTGTGTCTGTGTGTTTTTTCCTCTCCAGAAATACGGAGTCCCTGGAAGTCCTGGCCCTTTCCCCACGTCAAGGTTGTTGCCCCGAGCCGGTCTGGGGTCGTCCTGGGGGCCCGGCGAGGGCCCCCGGACGCCGAAAAGAAGGGAGAGAAGCGCCTGCGCCTCGAGTCTTCGAAGCGTGGGCTGCCCGGGAGAAGGCCGTGTCCGGGAGACCTGGACTCTTGTTAGAGCACGTCCCCTGTGGCAGGTCTGACTCTAGAGAGGCCGCGCTCGGGACGGCCTCCGTGTCAGAGTCTGGCAGGTCTTCCCCGTCGGTCAGGAACTGCCGCAGCGCCGCTTTGTGCAGAGCGCGCAGCTCGTCCGCGTCTGGGATGCGCCCGGCCTTCGGCTCGCGGTGGGAGCCGTCCGGCTGCGGCTGGGCACCCTCGGCAGCGGACTCCTCCTGCCGGGCCAGACGAACAAGAGAATTACGTACTCCAGATTTCGTAATAAAAGGGAGGGGGTCTCAACCCTCCCAGACGAAAAGTTTTAGACCCCCCCCCGTGGGAGAACCCTCCAAAACATCGTCCCCAGACCCCCGCAGGCCCTCCAAGATAGCCTGGAAGAGACCCCCCCCGAAATGAGACCCCCCTCCCTTTATTACGAAATCTGGAGTGCCCTGAGATCTGCTGGGCGCTGCTATATCCTCACAGCCCAAGTCAGGGCCCTGGGACCCCGACCCACGACCATCACGGATCGATCCGGCTCGAGCAACGCCGCAGGGAGATGAGGTCGCTCCAGTCGAGACGTTCCGAGATGGCGCCTTTTTTTCGCGACGCCGGATCTCAGGGAAGGGGGATTGCGAAAGCGGGGGTCAGCGAACCAACTCGAGTGGCTGATCTCTCTGGCGCCTCCCGGCGCTTCCCGGCGCCGGTGCATCGAGAAAAGCGCTTGGCGGCGCGGCCGAAACGAGCGGCGTGCCACGAATGTCGTACCCCCCCCCGTCCCATATCCCCCCCGTGTCGTCTGGCCAGGTCCTGGCGGCGCGCACACACAGACACCCCTCGCGCGCCGTGAACGGAAGCCGCGCCAGAGAGCTGCTGGCCCCTGGGGGTTGCCCTTGCTGGGGCCTACAAACGCTGACGAGGACGATGACGAGCGTCAAGGCCGTCGTCGGCAGGAGGGAAGGCAAGGTACACAAACGCAGGGTTTGGGAGGTCCGCGCGGCGATCTTGGTTCGGCGCTGGAGCCCCTGGCGGCGCCCGACTCCGCGCGCCAGGGAGAGAGGTCCAGCTGGTCCGAGGAACCCGCCCAGACTCCCAAAAGCTCATGTTTTTTTGTGCTGCTCCCCAAACAGTGATTGAATGTACGGATCCTTACTTGCACTTCTCGAGTACCCCTCGGTGGGAAGAAGTAGGTAGAAGCATGAAGTAAGAAGGCGTTGAAACAAGAGTGGGTGTCCGCCCGCCCCCCTCGGGAGGACGGAAAAAGGTGAAGCCACTCGCTCACTGAAGTAGGAAGACGCTTAAGGTAGATTGGGAGATGGGCATCCAATCATACCTGCTTTCAACGACCGCTGGGTACTTGGATGGGGGTACTGGATTCTCCCCACGTGGGCGCCCGTGCCCGCTCGCGAGCGCCCCCTCGCCGCCCCGTGCGCTGCGAGGGCTCCCCGCGGACTCGCCGCGCTGGCGCGCTCGTGCCCGCTGGGGGGCGCCTCGTGGGCGCCCCCTGCGCCGGGTGCGTTGCCCGAGGAGTCGCCGCGCGGGCGCTTGTGCCAGCTCGTGGGCGCCCTGTGTGCGCTTGCACAGCATGGCCTGCACGACATAGCCGACACCACCGCCGAGTTTGCGCCACCTGAATTGCAGCGCGTGGCTCACACACAGCATAGCGCACACCACATCGCTTACACGACCTAGTGAGCATCACATAACGTACACGACTCAGCTATGGTTGACAGCACGACTCGCCCAACACGACACACGATGCAGCAGAGCTCACACCAAACAGCCTGTACAACACAGCGTGCGCCACATAGCTGGCACCATGTAGATGATATCAGATAGCTCGCATCACACGTACTACACCGCACACTCTGCCTCGCACAGCTTACACAGCATCGCTTTGCACCGCGCAGCCCAAACCGCAGAGCTTACACCACATGGCCTGCACATCGCACGCCTCACCTCCACAGTGCCATAACTCATTATATGTTCGGGGCCCACGCTGGATGATCTGTTGATTCGATTCCAACAGGCATCGTCATCGACACCGTCATCTTCAGAATCGGCTCGGGGTGAACAACACAGAACGGCACGGTCACAGGTTGGCGGCGCGCACAGGGGAGCCGGGGAAAAGGGGGACGGCTTCTTGAAGGGAGGCTGCTGCCTCAGATCTGCAGACGAGGCCCGCGCCTTCTGAGAAGCAGAGCTGTTTCTAAGAGGCCTTCCTCCCCTTCCCCACACCAGAGCGTAGAGGTAAGGACATTTCACGCTAAGAAAATGGACTTCGCTCCAAGCGTTTGCGTAACCAGCTGTCCAGGTCCAGATATACGGATGTCCCTACGAACACAGAAAGCTCCGAGGAAGCGCCCAGGGTACAGTCCAGATCCTTGATCTTCTCATACGAGAAGTCTAGAGCCCATGAAAGTCGGCGCTCGTTCTGAAGATGTCGTGTGAGTGTACAGTCGGACTCAGGCCAGAAAAAAACATCCTTCAAGAACATGAGACCCTCCGTCGGCCATCACAAACAGAACAACCCAGGCCAACCCCCTGGAGGCACAAGAACACCCGAGAAACACGAAGAACACGAGGGTGCCCTCCTCGAACCGACCTCGATCTTATTGAGGAGCCGAACGTTATATACCGACGCTTTTTTTTCCGGCCCCGAACTTTATTCAACTCGCACAAGAAGCGGATCCTGGTGTATACGGGACCCTGGTGTACATACTTTCGCTGCTTCCCCCGGAAGACGGGGAAACGAGTGTACACCACGCCACCCCGACGTCATCCCCGACCCTCGGAAAATCCTGGGATTGAGGAGCAGCCCGCCACTGGTAACGTGCATGCCCCAGGTTCCGACCCCTACCTCGGCCCGACTGCATCCCTTGGGCGTGGCTTCATGAGGGGGTCATAAATGGGGGAGTCAGAAACGCTCCCCTTTTGTGCCTCTTTCGGGCCCCTCCGGAGCCGCGGGGGGCTCGTTCAGGTACCGTTTGGGTACCTTTTCGGACCACCCTCGCCACCCCCCCATCTACGACCCCCCCATTGCGCAACGCCCAACCCCCCCCTGCGCGCGGCCGACCGGGTGGGGCGAGCCACGATCCCTCGCGGGCGCCCCATGGGCGACGACGACGGCGCCGTCCCGAGGGAGGGCCCCTGCCGCCGCGGAGAAGGGCGCGGCGGCAGGCCTTCTGACCGGAGGCCGGTGGCCCCTGCGAGGGAGGAGGGAGAGAGAGAGAGAGCAAGAGGGGCAGGGGGAGGGGGGAGGGAGGAGGAGGAGGAGGAGGCTGAGAAGGAGCACCGAGAACGTTGAGATCCCCATGGCGAATGCAGGAAAGGTGCGCCTGGAGGAGGAGGAGGGGGGGAAGGGGGAAAAGAGGGAGGAGGAGGGGGGGAGGAGGAGGAGGAGGAGGAGGTGGAGGAGGAGGAGGAGGAGGAGGAGGAGAGGAGGAGGAGGAGGAGGAGGAGGAGGAGGAGGAGGTGGAGGAGGAGGAGGAGGAGGAGAGGAGGAGGAGAGGAGAAGAGGAGGAGGAGGAGGAGGAGGAGGAGGAGGAGAGGGAGGAGGAGGAGGAGGAAAAAAAGGGGAAAAGGAGGGGGGAAGAGCGGAGTGGGAGCCATGGGAGCTGTGGTATAGCCACCGGCAGGGGGCCGGGCCCCCCTGCGAGGGAGAAAAGGAAGGAGGAGGAGCGGGAGCTACGGGAGCTATATGGGAGCGAAGCGACGTCGAGCGTCGTGAACGAGAGAAGTGGCGCTTGCTGACTACCTACCAGACCACCCCAACCCAACCCGAAAACCCGAATTTCGGGTTGGGGGGGGGGTAAGGGTTCCACACATGTTTTTTCGATGTTTCCCGACACCCCCCCTACTGGAAATCGAGGGTAAATCTGAGCCTTCGGGTTGGGTTGGGGTGGTTTGGTGGGTGGTGACTTGCAGATCGACGAGGGCTGCAGCTCGGACCGATTTCGGCGGCCCGCTCGGGGGACCATTCGCCCTCACGCGTGCTAAAAAAATGCCTCCCCTCGGCAACCAAGAGACCGGGTGCCGTGCATCGGTCGTGGCTGTACGGCCGCACCTGGCGCAAGAAGTGAGAACACGTTGCCCCCATTGTTGTAGACAGTTTGAATTATCCAAGACCTGCCCCCCCATCATTGGAGCGGTTGAGGGTGAGGAGAAGGACGGGACGGGGAAAAGAGGGAGGAGGAGAGGGGAAGGGAGCAAGCTAGGTGCGCTCGAGTCTTATATGACGTGTGACCCCTCCCTCCCATCCCTTACCATGACGTAGATATCCTCTCTATTCGCACAGTCGGATGTCGAGCAGGGCAACGATCGCGAGAGCGTACGAGATGCATGGCAGAGCACGGCGTGGCATGGCGTAGCAAAGCAAGGCAGAGCGCAGCATGCCATAGCATGACGTGGTATTGTGCAGTGAAGCATTGCATCACAAAGCATTGCAACGCAAAGCATGGCATCACACAGCGGCGCAAAACACAACATCGCACAGCATGTCATGGCATGGCGCCCAGTTCCTTGGAGGGTAAGTGCATCGTCTTCGAGAGCTCTGGACCGGTCTGGAGTCGTGGCTCCATGTCGAACTCCTTGGGCTCACCGAAAAGCTCCACACAAGGCGGGGCAAATGGAGAGCACCCGCTGGCTCTGCTTTCAACATCGCCTTCTCAAAGCAGAAACGGGGCTCCCGCTTGAGACTTCCTGAGAACGACGACGCCCCAAAGTGGGGGGGCCTTCTGCGGCCCAAACAATCAACGAATCGATACCGAGGGTGCATTCATGTCCGATGGTATTTTCGGGGGATAATTTTCTAAATTTTGGGGCCGATTTGGAAGGACCGAAAACGCCCGCGCTGCAGCGGGAGCACGACTTGGAATAATCAGAGGTGCAGAAATGGGGCCAACGCTTCAGCGGGAGCAGCATGTTGAACAACAACAAGCGAAAACCCAATTTCCGGGAATCCTCTGTAAACAAAAACCATATGCGGAGGGGGGCCCGATATCTTCCGGACGTCATCAGGGGAGAGGGGAGAGCAGTGTTCATATTGTGCGATTGTGGAAGGGCAGGGGAGGGAGAGATGGAGGCAGACGGGGCGGAGGAGGATCAGAGGAAGAGGGGCAGGAGGAGGATCACAGGAGGAGGGGCAGGGGGAGAGAGCGAGGGGGGGGAGATCCAGGCGCCGAGTCCGGCTGGGTCCGTGCGCGACGGCCCTCCGAGACTGCACACGGCGGGGAGTGGAGGGAGGCCTCCGAGGGTGTCTTCTCTTGTGAAGGGGAACTGAGACACACAAATAAATACACACAAATAAAAATATCCCCCATATTTTCCCATATTTTCTGGGTTTTTGCCTTCCCCCCCACTTCCCATATTTTCCCATATTTTCTGGGAATCGCTGATTAATTGTGTCTGTGTGTTTTTTCCCCTCCTGATCTTGGAGGGCGAGGCGGCTCCCGAGCACCCGGATCCCGGCGGCGCAGGGACAAAAAAAAGAAACTCGCGGCGGCGCCGGTGACTCGTCCCTGGGCCGCCGAGCAGCGACGCGGGGTGGAAAGCTGGTCCCCGGGAAGGGGCCGAGATCCTGGGGAAGCCCCGTCGCCAGAAGAAGGCGCCGCAGGGGGAGGGGGGTCCGATGGCCAGCCACTGCGACATGCCACGCCCGTGGGCGTGCAGGCTGAGGCCGCAGCCGGAACCCCAGTGGCCCTGGCCGAGGGTTCCGATGGGCCGAGAGGCGAGGGTGCAAGTGCACCCTTGGAACGCTACTCCTCGTCCTTGTGATGCGGCTTCACTGTAGAAGACCAGCGCCCCCCCGCCCCACCCCTTTGTGCGCGACGCCGATCCTCCTTGGTTATGCAGTGCTCCCACGGGCGAAGGGCTTCCTCATCCTCCGACTTGCCGGCCTGCTCATCCTCCGAGACGCCGCCGCCGTCGGGGACTTCTGGTGTGTCCTCTGGCCTGTCGGCCTTCCAGGAGCCGGCGTCCCACCAGCAGCCCGTCTGCTTCCCCTGCCAGCTCGTCCACTGCGCCCACGGGTCCTTTTCCCACACCTCCGACACCACGGTGTTTCGCGACCTTCGACGTTCCATCCTGGGCCGTCTTGAAGGCGGCCCGGAAGCCCGAAGCGGCCCCACAGATGCCAAAAAGCCTGGACAAAAGCTGGTCGCTTGGTGATCGTCGTGGCGGGGGAGGTCTGGGCCGGCCTGGGTCCGCCCACGTTCCACGGCGCCCGCGGGTCCTCCTCCCATGCTCCGTCGCGCCGCACATCCCACGACCTTCCCTGCCAGCCGCTCTCTGACCACGCGGCAGCACCGGCGGTGCTTGGTGGCATAAAGTTGGCCCGTCACGGTCTGCGGTGCGCCCTCGACCTTCAGAGCCCGCCAACGGCTCCCAGAGGTTAGGTCGGGCATGTCGTTCTACAGGCGGATCGTGGAGTAGCAAAACACACACACACACACACAAAAAAAAAAAAGTAAAACAAAAAGCACACAACCTCCTGTAGAGGGACATGCCCGACTTACCCTGAGGCCCTCCTTCCCTGGCCACTCGTCCTTTCGTCCTCGCTCCCAGAGCCCAGATCGAGAGGGGCAGGGAATATGGTCGGTTGTTGCCCCCATTGTTGTTATGTACCCCTGTCTTGCTCGCTACAGGTTACCGATGCTGCCACTCCCCCGACCTCTCTCGGGGATGCGTGCTGAAACAGCTCCGGAGCGAACCCGGCCGTGGCAACGAGGGCCTTCCAGGATGCCCGAGAGGACGATATAAAGAGGCAAAGGGGGGTGGTGACATCAGCACCTGTGCTTTATCTGACCGATGCCGTTTCTTCGATAGTACTCCAGATTTCGTAATAAATGGAGGGGGGTCTCATTTCGGGGGGGGTCTCTTCCAGGCTATCTTGGAGGGCCTGGGGGGGGTCTGGGGACGATGTTCTGGAGGGCTCTCCCACGGGGGGGGGGTCTGAAATGGCTTGTCTTTCAGGGTCCAGACCCCCTCCCTTTTATTACGAAATCTGGAGTACCTAATTCTGGGCCGCCCTGAAATGCAGCCAACAGATACGAGGGCGATGCCCACCGACAACCGACAGCGACCGCTGCTGGGCAAACGCGTCTCCCCCACAAGCGGGTACCACCAGCAGCAGCGCTGATGTCTGCCATCGTCCCCACCCCTTCCGACCCCATGTTTGCCCCCTCTGGCCGTCGCCCTGCTCCTCCTCCTTCCCAAGGTCCCAGGAAACATTTTAATACCTCCAAAGGCCGCGAGAGGCCAGCAACCTTCAAATCCTTTCCTAAAAAACCTTTTTCCCCGTCGCTCCTCCGTGCCATTGCCTGATTAAAACGACTCTTCCCTTTCGCATTCACAAACGTGACGGTAGGTCGGCCGTGGTGTTTCACCTCATACATCCTCGCCATGTATGATATTGCAAGCTTGAAGTTGCACCAACCGCTCTGGGCGTAGGTGGTTTTGGGGGGATATTTATTCCGCCCCCTTCTCCCTCATCAGGGAGGGTGTACCCCTTCCCTCTCCCCGTGTTCCCCTGTGCCTGAAGGGGGCGGTCGCGGATCGCTAAGGCATCCAAGATGGCCAACGATTGCTCCAAGAGGGGCAGCCCAGCCTACAACATTGCTCTAGATATCGAGGGATGGTTCAAGATAGCGTCCAACATGCCTCCGGAAAAAAGAGCAACAAAAAAAGGCCCCAATATCGTCCCAAAACGGCTCCAACTGGCCACTGAGGCCCCCAAGGAAACACCCGAGAGACCCAACTCCTTTTTAAAACCAAAAGGGGATATCTTTATCGTGCCTCGTTGTCCGATGGCCTTGCGAAGCCTCAAGGTGGCTCCTGGATCGCCCATGGAAGCCCCGAGAGGGGCCGAGCAGGACACCAAAACTGTCCCCAAGACACCCACGAGCGCCGCAGAAGTGCCCCACGAGGGCCCAGGGAAGCAACGAGTCGGCCTCCGACTCGGGGGGGGGCCCTTGATGAGGCCCCCCCATGTTTGACCGATGGCCTCTAAGGGCCCCGCAGGCCTCCAGAAGAGGGCGTAACTCGCGCATCCACCCCGCCTCCTCCTGCCTCGAGGCAGGAGGAGGAGGCAGGAGTAGAGGAGGGAATCGGATGATGAGGCGGAGAAGACGAGGATGAGGAGGAGAAGGAAGAGAACATGAAGCTTAACATACCGAAGCTCCACCTACCCACCAACAGGCGAGACCGTGTTCCGCCAAGCTCGAGCTCGTTCTTCTCGCACTCGACCTCAACCACCTCTTCCTCCCCCCTGCTTAGCAGTTCGCCTCTCCACTCCCCGTCCTGTTCCACCTTCACCTCCCTTTCAAAGAGGTGTGCACGGCTCATTCATGGGTCTGTACTGTTCACGCGGAGCTCGCCTGAGCATCGTTTCTGTCTGGACTGGCGGGGATACTTTTTGGTTCGCGGCTCCAAGGCGAGGGACATGGAGCGGGCACAACGTCCGGGGCGCGGTACGTAGATAATTGGCGCGAGATTGCCGCAGACTCCAACGGACAACACACGCAGTGGCGCATGCACATGCCAGGGACAAAATGCCCCTCATCGAGACGCATTTCAGCGTCTGCTGGTGCCCGGCCCAGACAGCCCTGCTGGTGGGGAAACAAAAGCCGCGGCAACCAGCAACGGAACGGGGGGGAGAAGTCGCCCTTGCGGCGCCAAGCTCCAGCCGAACCGCAATTGGAAGCGAGGCCAAGACGGACAGCAAGGCACTGTAAACGCCACGGGCAGAACGCGAGTCCGAGTGGCCAAAGACCAGGCGGGACCCACGTCTGTACACACAGAGCCAGGCCGTCCAAAACCTCGGAAAAAAGGAGGTGAGCGCGAGCGAGAGCAACTAACTCAGACTCACTGCGGCTCCACGAGCATACGATGGTGCGGCGAGGGAGACCCGACTTACCACGGCTCACTGAAGATGAGGTGTGGCTGATGCGCGTCAGAACGCCATCCAATAGAGGCAGACCACTGGTGTGCGCTCACGAGGCTGAGCAACCTCCAGCCGGTAGCATGCGCGCTCACATCGTATCCGAATCCGAATCACGCTGTTCGGGGGCACAACGATGCAATGTACTGACAAAGACTGGTGGCTGTGGCTGCGCCAGAACGAGTGAAACGAACACGAACCGCAGAAGGCTGAACCACTCAATGCGGGGCCGCTCACTTCGACGAGGCCCAATCACCAGGTGTATGGCGGACAGCCGCACCCACTCAACACCTGCCACGCTGCCCGTGCAGAAGCCGAATGCCTCCGACGCCGGGGCGAACCGATGGCTGGCAGCTGCAGAGCTGCTGGGCCGTACCGTTCGCTGGCGGCGTGCTCACGGTGGGCCAAGACGTCCTTGTAGTAGAACCATGGCCGGGTCGGCGACGAAGGAGAGTGTTCCAGGGCAGGTCTCAGGGCAGGGGGGGGCGCAGCCAAAAGCTGCTGAACACAAGTGTCAATGAGGGGTGTCCGAGCACCATCCAATAAGAGACAGACCACTGGTGCGCGCTCACGGGGCTGAGCAACCACCAGCCGGTAGCCAGTGCGCTTACATCGTATCCGACTCACGCAGTTCGGGGGCACAACGATGCAATTGCACTGACGAGGGCTGGGGCTGTGGCTGCGCCGAGGAGAGCGAAACGAACCCGAACCGCAGAAGGCTGAACCACTCGATGCGGGGCCGTTCACTTTGACGAAGCCAATCACTGATCACCAGGTGTATGGCGGACAGCCGCACCCACTCAACACCTGCCACGCTGCCCGTGCAGAAGCCAAATACCTTCGACGCTAGGGCGAACCGATGGCTGGCAGCTGTAGAACTGCTAGGCCGTGCCGTTCGCTGGCGGCGTGCTGACGGCACCGCTGTTCCCAGGGCAAGTCTCAGGGCAGACGCGCTCCTGCGGCCGGCGCAATGTGATGGCGCTGGCGGGCAGGGGGGGGCGCAGCCAAAAGCCGCTGAACACGAGTGCCACTGAGGGGAGGAGGAGAAGGAGGAGGAGGAGGAGGAGGAGGAAAAGGAAGAGGGGGCGCAGCCAAAAGCCGCTGGACACATATTAAGATGGGAGAGGCCGGCGGCAGCACTGCCGCCGGTGACAACTTATTCCAAGGACGGGAGCGTCTTGGCGGGGGGGTGCCGCGCCACTGCTAGACGAACGCGCCTGTCCCCGTGAAGGGTGGACAGGACACGGCTAGCGTGGCCTCCGTGCCTCACACAGGGCACCTATGCACTGTACCTCTTGTCCATCGGTCCCTTGTTGTTCCTCCTCGGCATCCTGTAAGGGGGGCGCGCAGCCAAAAGCCGCTGAACACAGGTACGCGGCGGGGGTGGAAAGCTGCAGGCAGGGACATCCCGGCAGTGCGCCGGCACATGTGGACCACGATGGAGTGGGCGGTGCCACCGCCACCGCTGACCGACAGAAGCGGGATGCAAGAGTACCAGAGCCACAGAGGGCGGACCCGGGACCAGCGGCAGCCCCCCAGGGAACCCGGCGCCAGGATGCAAGCCGCAGGAGAGCCCGCGGGACACGCAATCCGCCCACTCTGCAGTCACAGACCAGTGTCCGGTGGCTGTCAAGACGCGGCGAGCAGGGGGGGGGCGATGAAAGGCCATTCAATCCCCCGCGCGAGCGGTGCCACGACCATACAGCAGTCCCGAACCAGAGCCCGGTGGCGGCCAAGACGCGGCGAGCGCGGGGGGAGGCGACGCCAGGCCCTCAGCAGCGGAACGGTGATGCGAGGGTGCCTTGATCCCTCGAGGGAGGCCCCGGGCCAGGGAGAAGCACCCCTTACGGAGGCCACGACTTGCAGGGCAGCAGTGGGCCAGCCGTCAGTGGCCAGCCTCCGCGCACCTGTCCCCCGCGCGTGCGGTGCCAAGAGGGGGGGCAGCAAGGCTACTGTGGGGAGACGGTCCACCACTGTTTTTTGCGTTTCTTGGGGGCCTGGTTGTTCGGGAGGCCCTTCGCCGCGTGGTGATCACTGCTCACTCCGTCGCTTCGACCCACGTGCTGCTGCCGCGGCCGAGTCCAGTCGACGTCGAGGCCCAGCGCGTCAGTGACGGCCCACATGTCGCACTCGTGGCTGCGGAAAGTTTCCAAGAAGAGGTGGCAGGTTTGCGGGTTGTGCCGAAGCGGGTCGAGCGCGCCCTTGCTGCCGGGCACAGACTGCCGCTTGGCGAAGGCGTGCCAGGTGCCAGTGAACATTGTTCCCAGCGCGATCGCCTTCTCCTCCTCCTCCTCCTCCTCCTCCTCCTCCTCTTCCTCCTCCTCCTCTTCCTCCTCCTCCTATCAACCTCTGGTAAGCCGTCCGCTGCGACCCTCATCCTGCTCCTTCACCCCCCATCCTCCTCCTACCGCCCGCAGCCTCGACCCTCGATCCTCCCCCACTCCTCATCCTCCTCCTCCTCCTCCTCCTCCTCCTCCTCCTCCTCCTCCTCCTCCTCCTCCTCCTCCTCCTCCTCCTCCTCCTCCCCCTCCCCCTCCCCCTCCTCCTCGGCGGTCCTCGTCCCATGGTCCTCGATCCCGCATCCCGCATTCCGCGGCCCCACAGGGGAGCCCATTTCGGCACACCCCTCACACGTTTGGTGGCCTCACAGGGAGCTCCACCTGAAGCCCCAGTGACAGGGTCCACATGCGGCTCCCCGCCCAATTCGGCACGGCCTCATCTTTCGTGGTCCCGCAGTGAGCTTCCCGTTCACTGTCCCGCCTGCCTTGCGACACGCACACCTGCACATGGCTGGGCCCTTCGCCAGGGTACTTTTTGGGGTTCGCAGCGAGACGCGGCCTGGGTGCCCCGATCGGCGCTCCAGGCGCCCAAGAGGGGTACGGACACGAAAACGAGCACACTGCCCACCCGAGAGCGCCCGCCCAAACCCGACACCGGCCGCCACGGAGCAGGCGACGGCCCGTCTCGAGGGGACCACGCCCCCGCGGCGGCTCCGAGAGCGAGGCTTGCCGAGAGCGCGCAGGAACTGCTGCCCGTCTTCCCCCCCGCTTTCGGCAGCAGCATTGGGAGCCTCCCGCCTCGACGCGACTCGACGCCGGTCGACGCCAAACCGACGCCGATCGACGCGAACCGACGCCAATCGGCGCCGAAGCGGCGCCGATCTCATCGATGACCAGACGCTGGTCATCGACGCTGGTGCACTCTAGAGGCGGAATGACGAGGGCATAGAAGGCTCCCAGGATTTGCTTCCGAACCCACTCTGCCCGCACCTGCTTCGGCAGTGCCGACTCGGGTTCGGCCTCATCGTCGAAGAGCCGTGCAGGACTCCACTTCGCGGCTCCGTGTCCCGTGGTCAGTCCCGTGGCCTCCGCGCGGCCCTGGGGGAGCAAAGAAGTGGCTGACTGGGCGGGATCCGAACAAGGCAACGCGCGTGCGCGACGAGAAGCTCGAGGGTCCTGCGCACGAGTAGGGAAACCAAGAGGTACCGATCCCGCCGCTCCCCTGAGTTCTCCTGTGGTGCGTTCTGACCAGCACCTCGGGGCGAATCCGGCGGCGGCGACGAGGGCATCCCAGGGGAAGCTCAAAAAGGGGAAAGCCTTGTGGATGCCATGACAGTGGACGCTCTAACAGTCCTATCACCGAATTAACCGTATCTTTCAAATGTAAAAGACATGTTCTGACAATGTCTCAAACATGTTTAAGTCATAGTTTAAAGCATGCTTGATTGATTGATTGATTTAAATATCTGGAAATTCTTTGGCAGCATGCTTCCTCTCCATTAATCGACGTCCACAAGGAAAGCGATGCGAGGGTCCCTCTGTCGCGGGCGACGAAACGCAGCCGGTCCTGCCCAGGAAGACCCAGCGACCGACGCCGCGGCTTGCGCGGCGTCGCCAGCGCGGCACGCCGCGCGGAGCTGGACGTCGCTCGGATGCCCCTTCTCTGTGCAATTTTTCGGCGTCGCGCGGGTATGCTTCGCGGAGCATGGATACACTCGGTACATGGATACATCGGTGTGGTAGTCTTCTCGGAACATGGATACACCTTGATGTCGTTCTGGCGCCGCGGCTCGCTGCCGCCGTCGGGATCCTCGTTGGACTTACCACCTCGTCGTCTGTGCTACCCGACAGGCTGGGGCTGACGTCCTCGGGTTGTTCCCTTGTCCGCACCTGGACGTTGGAACGTTATCGCGCCATTTTGGCTGCGCTAGGTGGTCTCGGTGCCTACCTCAGGCCTGTTGGACGCACCTGCATGCCCGTTCAGGGGCTGTCATGGCACCTGGATTGCATCGGCTTCGGCCCCCTGGACGCTGCCGTGAGCCGCCTGATCCGCGGCCCTGCGCGCGTTAGGTAATTTAGTCGCGTCCGCGGCCCGTTCGCAACCTTCCGCCGCTGGCGCTTCCGCCTGCGGCAGTTAAAAAAAAGGGTATGCTTCGCGAGGTGGTCCAGGATGCTCCTCGATGGCCCTCACCGAGGAAAAGCAACAACAGCAACAGCAACAACAACAAAAAAACGCACGCGCCCGAGCGATGCCGCGGGAGGAGGAAGGCGCTCCCGCGCTCCACGGCTCGCGGGCACCCGACGCGCGCGGATGGCCGCGCCGCGTCCACGCCGCTCTCTCCTGCGCCGCTCCTCCCCGTGTGTGTGCACCCTCGGGGGGGCCACGGCGTCCGCCCCGTCGCGGCCCTGCCCGCGTCGAGTCCGTGTCGAATCCACATGTCGGACTCGTCGGATCAGTGCCGCATCCGCGTCGAAGCTGCGCCGAACCCGCGTCGAGTCCGCACCGAGCCGGCGCCGAGCCTCAGAGAAGACGCCAGTGAGGGGGGCGAGGTCCCCCGAAGACGCGGCACGACGTGCGCAGCATGGCACGCCGAGGGAGGGCACACCCAGAGGTGCCGATGCGGTCAGGGTCCTACCAGACGGAACGCCAAGGAAGGAGCGACGGGACTTGCCTCGCCGCGGGGAGCCTCTGACTCGAGCAGGTGCCCCGACCTGGAACGGCCGGCCCGAGCACCTCGGCCCCTTTGTAAGAACGGTTTTTTGAAGGCAAATCTGCCTTCAAAAGAACGGTTTTTTGAAGGCAGATCTGCCTTCAACAAATGGTTTTTTGAAGGCAGATCTGCCTTCAAAAAACCGTTCTTACAGAGCTCCCCGAGGTGGTCCTCCCTTCGGTGCCTCGAAGGTGCCGCTGCTCCCCGGACCTCGCCCGAGGGCGCGCTCCGACCAGAGTTCGGAAGCGGATGCAGCCTGGGCGACGCGGGCCTCCCAGGAGGCCCAAGAAGGCGAGCACGAGGCGAGGGGTGGTAGCGGTATCGGTACACCTGCCTCATCTGAGCGACGCCCTTCTTCCGATCGTTAGACCGTTAGGCAACAACTCACGGAAGCTTTCGGTCGTCCCCATGGCGCCCAAGAACGTTCCCCATCGCGCGCACAGCGGGCAGAATGCATCTCCCTCACATGTCGCTACCTGGCACAATTGGTCGCCCTTGGGCGCTGTCAGAGCGCTGTTCGGTGCCACTGGGCGCCATTTGAGCGTTCGGCGCTAGTGAGCGCTTTTGGGCTCTACTCGGCGATATACATTCAATCCTGGACGAGCTGATGCTTCCGGGGTTCGAGGCCTCACAGATGGGGTCCGAGCGGATGGGGTCGGAGGAACGAGCCGCGTCGTCGACGCATGGCTGATGAATCGGCGATGCACATGCGACATCGGCGCAGAGAACATCGGGCTACAGACCGAGGCGCATCGCCGATGCATCGGCGATGCGGCGGAATCGTCCCCACCAACAGTCGGACCTAGGCCAGAAGAGCATCCTTCAAGAACACGAGACCCTCCACCGGCCCCAATGGGAGAACATTCGAGAGTGCCCTGCCCCAGGATGCACAAGAACACTGATCAAACACGAAGAACATTAACCCCGAAGGGTCTTTAATAAACCCCTGGGCACTGGCGGCCACCGCACAGGCCTACGCCGAGGAGAGGACGAGGGGAAGCAGGAAAGTGGGAGGGGAAGGAGGAGGAATGGGGGAGGGGAAGGAGGAGGGACGCGCTCCTCTTCCCCGCCAAGAGCTGAGGGGGGGGGGCGGTCCTCAACACTGAAGACCCTTCGCGATGACCTCGGCCCGACTGCACTCGGACCCCATCCAGGAGGCCCCGAAGGAATTCTTTTGAGCAGGGGCCGACCGTCCCGGCATTCCCATGGGCCCACCACGAAATGCTCTCGGAACCCAGAAGCGTTCTAAGAACAAAAACAATGTCCTTAGAACAGAAGCCCGAGCCCGATGATGTGCTAAAGCGAGACAGTCCCAGCCAGGAAGGTCCCAAGAACGTTTCGTGGAGACCACCAGAGGTTCTCAGAACATTGCTTGGTAGGCCTACAGGGCAGTTTTTGATACATTGGATGTTTAACAGTATTGGACTTGTTTTTTTAATACATGATTTATGTATGAATAAATGTATGCATGAACTCCTCCTTGTTTTTCATACTAAACCCTTGCATTTGTAATACATGATCCGCACGCGGAGCATGCATTTCAAAACGGCACTGTATAGGCACGCCGGGACGCTTCGCCACTGCCTGATTCGGGGGATGGACAGACCCCCCTTTAGCAAAACGTGGTTTAGTGAAAACGACCTGAGGCCCAAACCTGGTGGGCGCAAGCCTGGAAAATAACGGCCACGGCGCCCTCTCGAGAAGCGAAAACGGACAATTCACTAATCGACGTGTCACTGTTGGGGGTTCTGTCCAGCCCCGACTGACTCTTGGCGGCCCCGCCCACCTCGGGAGGCCCCGGCCCGCGGAGCGCTGGCGGCGGAGGCGCCGCGCGGGCCGCGCGGGGCTGCGCGGGCGCTCCCTCCTCCTTGCCGCGCGGGGCTGCGCGGGCACGGCGGCTCCCGCGGCCCTCGCGGCGGCCCTCGCGGGGGGGGGGGAGGAGGAGGAGGAGGAGGAGGAGGAGGAGAAGGAGGGGAGGAGGAGGAGGAGGAGGAGGAGGAGGAGGAGGAGGAGGAGGAGGAGGAGGAGGAGAACAGGGGACGTGTCGACCCCCATCCCAGGCTTCGTGGGGCTCTCGAGTGGACCACAAAGTGGGGGGCGGATCCCAGGGCTTCCATCCTTCTCTTTGGGAGAGGGAGGGGAGCTTCACTTTTCGACGTTGGAAGCTCCATGTTTCGTCGGAAAGCCGGGGGTTTGGGATAGAAACGTCGCCTCCGAGGGGAGGGGGCCATGGGGGCAGCGCCTCAGGGTCCGAGCTGAGCTCTGAGGCTCGAGCTCTCCCCCGACGAGCTCGTTAGGCTCTCGGCGGCTGGCCGGCCTCGGGAGGCCTTCCGGCGGCTGCGCTCCGCCGAGATCGCACCGGGGCTTCCAGGATCGTGCCGAACGGCCGCCGAAGGCCCGGGTGGGGACCCGACCACGGTCGGGGGAGCGCCTCGTGGGGGGGGGAAACGTGGGGCTCGAGTCGGCGATGTATCGCCGATAGACCGGCGACAGGACCCCGATGGCGAATCCGCATGTCTTAGTAATCCCCAAACGTGGTGGTGACAACACCTGGCGGTGAGTCTCGGGCGATTTGGTGTCACCACCCGGTTTGGGGACTCGTGCGGTTTTCCGAGGATGTCCCGGACACTGGTGGGTCCAGGAGTCACAATACCTGGTGGTGACCCCGCGTCCCCAAACCCAGCGGTGACCTTTTGGGGGATTCCAGGTCGCCACCTGGTATCTCACCACCCGGTTTGGGGGTTCCCAAATGTCCCTGGGTGGGGCTGGTGAACGGGCCACTGCCGGCGATGAACGGGCGATTGGGAGTCGCTGCATCCCCTCCTCAGCCTGATGATGATGATGATGATGATGATGATGATGGTGGTGATGATGATGATGATGATGATGATGATGATGATGATGATGATGATGATGATGATGATGATGATGATGATGATGATGATGATGATGATGATGATGATGATGATGATGATGATGATGATGATGATGATGATGTTG